CATGAATTTGTTACAAAGAAGAGGGGAAATATTTAGTCCCTTTTACTTGTCGATTACCAGTGATTTATTGTTTTCCAAAGATTCATAAGGATAGTGTTAATCCATCTGGACACCCTAATATAAAGGGGATAGATTCCTTAACAGTTAGATTAGGGGAATACCTTGACTGTTTTTTACAACCTATGGTTAAAACAACTACAGCGTATCTTAAGGATACTAAACATATATTACAATTATTAGCTGGTAGAGCTATTACATTGGATACAATCATGCTCATTGCAGATGTGGCATCATTGTATACAAATATTAATCATGAGGGGGCAATACGAGCCGCAGAGTGGGTTTTTGACGTTCGGATGGTCTGTCACAATAGCATGTAAAATTCCTCTTGAAGTGTTTGGATTTTTGTTTGCAGCACAATTATTTCTGGCATCGCAACAATTCTTATTTACAAATCTCTGGGGTTGCTATGGGCGCAAAGTTTGCACCAAGCATATCAACTATTTATATGGCCCAATGGGAACAGGAGGAAGTTCTTACCAATAGTCCACTTGCCCTCAGTCTTTATCGTAGGTTCATAGATGATCTAATCATCCTATGGGATGGGACTTTATGTGACCTAGAGGCGATGCTGAATAGGATGAACACTAGCAATAGGAACATTAGTTTAACGTGGGAATGGAGTACCACAGGGATACATTTCTTGGATTTAGAACTTATTAAGGATACCAGCGGTTTCAGGACGGTTACGTTCTTTAAAAGCACTGACAGAAATGCATATATACCGAGTCAAAGCTGTCACCATAGACCGTGGCTTCTAAATGTCCCAAGGGGCCAATTCATGAGACTAAGGAGGAACTGCATTAAGGAGTCAGATTATAGTGTTCAGTCCCATACATTGGCCAAAAGGTTTGTTGCAAAAGGTTATGAGTCAGGTTTTATAGAGTCCGCAAGGGAGGAAGTAGGGTCCCTAAATAGAGAATCCCTACTTATAGATAAAGCTTGTGGAGTACAACCCTTCGAAGGGGTACCAGTCATTTTGGATTATAATATCCAATTTAGACAGGTTGAGCGAATTGCAAAAACAGTATTGGCCCATACTTAAATTGGATAAACAACTTGGTCCTATGCTAATTGAACTCCTAGGTTTATATACAAAAAAGCGCCCACTCTGAGGGACAAATTAGTGCATAATGTGGTTGGCCCCCCAAGAAGCAGGGATTTTCATATTTTGAAGGTAAAGGTTTTTATGCTTGCCGACGGTGTTACAACTGTATAAGGGTGAAGGGTATGAATAAAAGAAGGTATCATTTTACTAGTTCAGTAAATGGGAGGGTTTACCAGATTAAAGATTTAATATCATGCAATACAGCAGGAGTAGTGCATGGTTTATTCTGTCCCTGTGGGCTTCAGTATGTTGGACGTATTAAAAGATTGCCTAAGGATAGGATTCAAGAACATGTCCGCAATAATATACCAAGGGATTTCCTAAACATTATGTTTCTAGGCAATTTTTGGATGTGCATAAGGATTGTTTAGGTTTGACCTTTTGGGGTATTGAAGTGTACAAAAAGAATTGGAGGGGTGATAATAAAGTAAGAGAGCTTAGTAAGAGGGAGTCTTTTTGGATTCATGAACTTCAAACTTTGTACCCTAGGGGGATGAATAGGGAATTTGATCTGAACTGTTTTATTAGTGATTTTTAATTAATTATTATCAATTTTATAATTATTTATTATTTAATCTGATTTTTTATTATTATCGTTTTGTGTATTGGAGTTTATATTTAATATGCTAGTATTTTAGTGTTTTAAATTTTAATTCTGTACAATTGGTATATGCATCCATCGGTAAGTGTGGTTAGCATCTTAAAATGTATGATTATGATGGATTCCGATGGTGGACTGGTAATGTCTTCATCACTTGCTTAGTCAGGTCCTTGTAGAGCTAAAGAGCGACGATTTCTTGTATTAGTGTCTTCTGTTTGATCCCCTGTAAGATGGCACTGATTGGCATGTATCAGCACATGTCGGTTTGGTCCACAACAAAATGGCGCCCTTTCTCTATATAAACTGAATGAATGTCGGATGGTCCAATCATATCCCCTTGATAAAGTCACGTGATCTGTGACAAAATGCGTCAGGGAGGAGCGTGCGGATGACGTTACAACGTTATTCATCGGAATAGTGGTAGTAGTAATCCACACATCGCTCCAGGACTGTAATACTTGCAGGTAATTGCAGTTACACATAGGGCCCGTGCACTGCCTTGCAATATACTGTGTATAGTGACGTTTTGGAGCCTTGACTGTTTTTATGCTGCCGGGGATGATGCTGCTATCTTGTGCCTAATTAGTACATTACTGGATGTTCACCATACATGGTGCAGATATGGACCTACGGAATGTGAGTGCATTTCCTATGTTTTAATGTGCAAATAAAAGTTTTAAAGGTTAAAGCACTATTTTGAGTTTTGTTTATGAGGAATATGGCTGAGCCTAATGCAGTTATCTGGAGGGAGCATATTTTGGAGCTATCATTCAGCAATTTGATCTTCAGAGTCCATATATTTGGTACCAAAAGTGCAGTTAGACCAAAACATTGTATAATGTGAGGTCACACTGCTGGAGGTGAGCAGATATATGGTGAAGTTTTTTTTGCACTGGATTTTCTGCAACAGATGCACACAGTGGTTCGTTATTTCAAGGAGGGGTCACAGGAGAATACTTAAATTATTGGACTTTAACCAAATACATTTTTGGACAATTAATCCATTTTATTTAACATATTTTTTTGAGTCACTTAGTTTCTGTTTTTCATATCAAAAATTACCTTGAAAGAAATGTTAGAATAATAAAGGGTGCTTGGATTCTACAGACATTATATCTAATTGATACCCCATACAGAGCAGTAAGAACTAGAGATATTTGGAGGGGTGTGTGTCCCTCCGATTATTCTATATTGTACAGACTCCAGGGAATCATGTTATACTTTCTTTACAGCATAGATTTAAAGAACTGTAGATAATGTGAAGAGCAAGACCGAGTGTGAATATAAAATATTTGTTTATAGTATGTTATATTTATAGTAAAAATGTATTCTCTCTTGTCCTGAAGATAACACAAAAATAAAATATATACAAAAGCACTATATAACCTATGTTAATAAAATATACAACAGATCACTTATTCCACCTTTCTGCATATTATGTGAATTGCCTTTTTTGCCTGCTGACACGTGTTGTCTCTAATGACCTTCACTAACATTATATAAATTAGACAGATGTCCGTGCAATATATAAAGTTTTTTGATTGGTTTATTGCCAATATATAATTATAAAAATATATAATATTGTAGAGGATAATCATAATAATAATAATTATTATAATTATTATTATTACAACTGTACACGGTGTGACGTTAACTGTAGGAAAAACAAACAGGAGGGTGCTAACACCTAGTGTATTACCAAAACATTTATTGTTAAACGCACACAAGCCACAATTATAGTCCCAGAAAAAAAAAAATGCAAGCATTGTGTTACACCAATAGCAGATCCAGTGCTGGTGGAGTGACTTCTAATCCAATGCACCGCTTGGTTGGCAAACTTACGCGTTTCCTGTACGGGAGGAAGGGGGTACATCCCCCGAAACACACCAATTTGCAGACCAAACGGTGCATTGGATTAGGAGACACTCCATCAGCACTGGTTCTGCTATTGGCGTAATACCATGCTTGCATGTTTCTTCTTTTGTAGATATGATTTTGCTTGTGTGTGATTAACAATAAATCTTTGACAATGCACTTAGCGTTTGCCCTTTCCTGTTTGTTTTTCCTATAGTTATCTGCCAGATTCCCCTGTCTGTAGAGGGCTGCATCAATTGTCCACACATCATGAGATTGTGTTGAGGACCTCTGAGCACTGGGGGGTGTCTGTTTTTTTCTTGTACATTAACAACATTGTAATACTACTCATTGTGAATATACTATCAATGAATTTGTAGCTTTTTCCTGCTGTATTCTGATTCAGTATTAGGTCCCTCCTAAATCTATGAATCTATAAATCTCCTAAATCTAAATCGTTTTGTGTGCCTGTAATATTGTTTATGTCTTTTCTGCATAAAAAAATTAGTTGCAATAAAAAAGGAAGCCCTAACAAATCTTCCACCCAGGCTTAATCCCATAAATCCACAGTGCAGGTCATTGAGTTATTACCTTAGCACACAGGTGTCAAACACAAGATCCATGAGCTGAATCTGGCCCTCCAGGCCATTTCATGTGGCCCTTGCACCTCTCCTGCAGCTACGGTACCCCTCTCATCTCTGCCTCCATCTTGTCTCAGCAGTGGACAGCAGAGAGGTGGACAGAACTCTTCCGCCAGATCCTGCACCTCTCAGTGCAGCTGCAACACTCCCTAATCTCTGCCTCCCCTGATCTCAGCATTCAGCTGACTCTGGTAACTGATTCCACTCCTCCTCTGTTCCTCCTCCATACCCTGCACTTTCTGATTCCCAGCTCTTCCCCCAAAGGGGGTGCACGGTGATGTTGGGGAGGGTGGGGATTCTTGACATCTGACGTATGAGGGGGTGAGGTGCTCTAGTATTACAGATACAACTGGCCCTTTGAGGGCTACCATAGTGCTGATACGGCCCGCGATTAAATGGAGTTTGACACCCATGCCTTAGCACATTGTGGACCCGGTTTATGAAAGTGTCAGAAAGGAAGGTTGTTTGTGCTGGAATAAGGGTATCTTTTAAATAAAGCTCATGTGTACAATTTGATCAAGCTTAGGGATTAGAGTGAAACTCCTTAATTTTTTAAGTGTTCTTGTGGGAAAGTGTCAGACCTTTATCTGATTTTTAGAGAACCTCTGAAGAACTGAAAACAGCATGGTTGTTCCAACTGACATGTAGAGAGCAGAAAATAAAAACACTTTTTCTAGAATGAAACCCAAACATATGCACGTGGTTAAAGATTTTGCATTGAGTGCAGACGATTTACCTGACTTGTCGTCATTTGTTTTGGAAAGAAAAAATACGGGATGGAGGTTACCACCAAACATCCACATGCAATGAGAAGGCCTAGCCACCAGGCCCCTATCCACCGAGGATCATATGGGTTAATCTTCACATCCTCTGAAAATCAAAAACACAACAGTTGATGTAGACAGCAAAGACAAAAAATATGTGTTTAATCTGCTTCCACATCTAAATGTGTAGAAATTTACTAAAGCATTTGCTTTATAGCAGCACACTTAAATGAAACGAGGGTGAATATAAAAATAGTAGATTTACCTAGCACATGATTGGGTGTTTAAAAGCAACTTTCCTGGGCAGAACACTTAAATAAATCTCCATTGTAACATCTTTATTGTTCTATCCTATTTTCATAAATTAATTGTACTTCACCCCCTGATATTCTATGTATTTGCAACTGCTGAAAACTTGCAGTACCACTGTTTGATCTTTGCCAGGTGACAATGTTTTTAACAGCAGTCCATTAATGTAAAAATCTGCATCTCTAGGCATAGTTATGAGAAAAAAATAGCGGCAGGTTGTTTTATGGCCTTTTACTTTGCCAATGTAGAAGAGAAGAAAGGTGTTCTGGGTAGAAATTTCTGATCATAAAACCTCAAAGCTATTATTCAAGCTATTAAAATTTTACAATTTCCACTTACCAGGCCTAACTCTGCCGATGTCAACAAACATTCTCAAGACCATGGAGCCCAGAAGATAACCAAAAGCCGGACCAAACACAGACACTGCAAATAAAATGGCTGAAAGCAAAAAGGTAAAACAAAATTAGATGATATATAATTTAGTAAATTGAAACATTTCTAAGCTTTATTTAAAGTTCCTTACCTATATACAATGGAGAATTATTTGGTTCAGCAAAGTCATCTATGTAGGAGATGCCGAAAGGCTGGATGGGGACAGTGCCAATGCCAGCCAAGAGTTGTCCCACAACCATGATAGCCCACATACTGGTGGCTTCCATGGTTTTTGTCTGTGGTATTTTCTGGCCTTGTGTTCTTGAACAATACAATGTCTGGTTTTTCCCAGTGCATAACTCCTGAATAGAGGTATTTCCTGTCCAGAAAAAAAAGCTTATTGAAAAAATAAGCAAAATCAAAAATGACTTGTTCTTCTACACAAGGAACCCCATAAACACTTAATTTACAAATTGAGGTCTGTTGGCATTAAAAATAGGGTATGTACCTGGATAGAAAACTGGTTACTGAGACATATCCAAAGGGTGCTGATAAATAGTGTGTCTTTTGATTGGTCTGCAGTTGTTAGTTGGGTGCCCCAGGGCTCTCTCCTGAGACCAATTCTTTTTAACTCGTTCATAAACAATATAGATGTTGGTATAAATAGTTCAATCTCAGTACTTGCTGACAATATGAAGCTAAGCAGGTCAATAACATCAAAACATCAAAACAATATAGTGAATCTTTATGAGGAGATGTTGTAAAGGATTGGGCAAATACATGAAAAATGAGTTTCAATGTAGGAAAAAGTAAAATGATGCATTTTGGAGCTAAAAATACAAACGCAAGCTACAAGAGGAAGAACCTCTGGGGGAATTGAAAATGGAAAAGATCTGGGTATCCTAGTAGATGGACATGCTCAGCAATAGCATGCAATGCCAAGCTGCAGGAAACAACTCCAGAAAATTTACTCAAGAGATAAATCTATAATTCTACCACTTTACAAAACTCTGGTTCAGCTGCATCTTGAGTATGCTGTCCAGTTCTGATCACCAGTCCTCAGGAAGGATGTGCTGGAAGGGGGCTGGAGGGCCTCAGATATAAGGAAAGGCTATAAACTTATTCTCTCTGGAGAAGAGACCCTTAAGAGGAGACATGATAGCAACATATAATTATCTAAATGGTGATCCAAGCATAGGAAGAAAACTATTCAGTCTTAGGTCGCTTAAGTTAACGTGTGGTCACTCCATTAAGTTGAATGAGAAGTGGAGTAACCTTAAACTGTGTAGGGGATTCTTTACTGTTAGAACACTAGGGATGTGGAACTCCATTCCACAATCGGTGGTGTGAGCAAGAAGTGTCGATAAGTTCAAAAAAACTTTAGATGGGTATCTTAGTAAATACAATATGGACTGGTGTCTTTATTCAACCTTACCAATTATGTAACTATATATATAACAGTATAATATATATATATATATATATATATATATATATATATATATATATATAGTATAGTAAGTAAGAGAGAGAGAGAGAGAGAGAGAGAGAGCATGCCATGCCAAAATCAAAAACACCTCCTTTACAAAACTTATCTCACGAAACAATAGATATGTGTAGCCAAATCCATCCCAAATTGTCTTTCGTAGGGGTAAAAAGTAAATTGGCCCAGACTGGATGTCCCCTGCTGTCTTAGGTTCTCAAAAGGTGTTACCAAAATTGGCAGTATGGTGCAACGATCAATTAATGAATATTTGGAAGGGTACCTGTAGAGTATGAGAACAGTTAGATCGCTGGGCAGCTGAGCAGAAGCCTTTGGACCTGTGATTTCAACATTGGTGCAACTTTTATGATGGCCATATACTTTCAGAGTAAGTTAGGGATCCATCTATATTTCATGTACTAGTTCATGCAACAGTTTATTGTTTGGGCAAATTATTTTTTTTTTTTAGTTTTTGCATGGAGTGGTCTGTATCCCCACTGGGGAGATACTAAATCTCAATGATCACTTTCACTAAGACAGAAAGTCAGAAGAAACCTAAATTTTAGTTATCATGGGAACAAGAGGTGAAACTGAATCTTTCAACAGGGACAAATGTTCTGGTGGCAACTGTTTATGATGAGAATTCAGGGAGATTTTTTCTCATTTCCTGTGTTGTCTCCAAGGCAGTAAGTGAGGGAGAATCTCCCCAGCAGCACACTAACCTCAAAAAATAACCTTGCAGGGATTTTAGCCCTTCCCTACCCAACCAAAACTAAATCATAATGTTTTGTCTTCATGGCCACTGAAAACAGAATTTTAGGCAAAAAGCTAAATACACAGGTAAATTACATACATAGTATTTTACCTGTCAATCCATCCAGTCATAAGATTTGCACAGCCCTGCCATCACACACAGCCAGGTTGGTGACTTGACTTTTCTCTACTGCTGTTCAAAAATTCAGATGCTTCCACTAGCTTTATTTACTATTAATGATTTTTAATGAATTCTATCTGTCTGGATTTCTGTTTTAACTTCAGCAGAAACATATGGCTGTTAGGATTTAATTACTTGTTATGTGCTTTCTTTTATCAATAATTTAATAATTTATGGTTTAGAATGATGATAGAGGTTAGAATAAGGAATAAATGTCAGGCTTAGTTTCAGTATACTGGGTTAATTTTTAGAGTTAATATATGTAAGGAGGAGGCATGGCACATCATGTCCCACAAGCCTCTGGTGAACAGTATGGCATGGTCTTAACAAGCTCAGCAGTCTATCAAACACAAACATACCATTTTCCAGTGATGTGTACTGATATTTCTCAGAAAGGAAGTGCGGCACTGTCAGAAGGAATGTCCCCGAAGCTAGCAACAGGCCACCAATACCAATAACACGTGGCCGGTGTATGCGACTTCCAAAATAGCTGATGAAGATTATAAGCACAGCATTGCTGATCTAAAACATGCAAGAGCAAAAAGGTCAGATCAGTAACATATCCGAGGGTTCACAGAATGCTTATTATTATTAGTTACAGATAGAAGCATGTGTTGCTCACAGTAAAAAAAAGCCTGTCATTTTTTATCCCTGTGACTATGTGAACTAGCATGTGTTAAACATAAAAGGAGATATTACATTTCCTGGAATTTAGAATAAGCGTAACCTTAATTCTAGATTTTACTGTTTTTAAGGGTATTAACAACAGAATATGCACTAAGACACATTTTAATCAACTGATTGCAATAGTTTTAATAATTATTTCAAGCTGCCATCATCCTAAATTATTCTCAGTGGTCCTAAAAGGACAGCTAGTAAGAATTGGACATAACTGTAAACCACTAATTGATTATAGGGATCAAGCCAAGGTGCTTATTGATAAATTCGAGCAGAAAAGATATGATAGGGGTGTTTTTAGAGAAAACTCATGAAAAGATAGAAAATATGGACGGGCTACTTTTTATTAGACAAACTGAAAAAAATACTTTACAAAGAATTGAAGAAGATATTACAGTAATACTGATCTATCCTTTTAAAGGATAAAATTATTGCTTAGACCCCCAAGGTTATATATGAGAAAACTCCACCCATCAGGACAGAATTGGTTCAAATTATCATTGACCCACAAAAAAAGAATGTAACCTGTTTTGAAGATAAGGAGTTTTATACTTGTAGGAGGTATGTTGCCTGTAGGACTAATGGAGAAAGTTCCAGAAAAAGAAAATATTTTTCAACCAACACAGGAAAAACATATGAGGTTAGAAACGTAACGTCCTGTGATACAACCCACAGTACATATATACTGAAATGTTCATGTGGGCTCCAATATGTGCGTCATACCATAAGAAATTTATCAATTAGAATTTCTGAACATAATAAAAATATAAAAAGCGTTTTACTGAAAAACAGTTTATCGAGACATTTTAAAGAATCCCATCATAAGGGTCCTGGTTGTCTTTAGACAAGGGGATGGATATGAGGTAGGAAGTTGCAAAGGATGAGACCAGATGGATCTATAAATTACAACCATTGAATGCCAAAGGTCTAAAATTGCTATAGATCCAAATTGTTTTTTATTAGTATGAGTAGTATGTTGTCAGGAAAGGCCTGCCCATAGTGCAGGTTACGTTCCGTGGCACACAAGTATGCACATGCACAGAGTCCTTACGAGCCAAACAGATGTGCAGGCACTTGGACATAGGTGCGCACACGTGCGTGCTTGCATGCGCACTCGTGCATACAGGCGCGCGCCTGTCACTAATGCTGGTGCCAAAAAGGCTATTTAAACTGGCTGCAGTAGTTGTCCATTGCCCGTATGGTCTTTTCCCTGCTTGTGTTTCCTGATTCCTGTGATTGTCTCCTGATACCGAACCAGCTTGTTCCTGATCCCGCTTGATTGCTACCTGACCTCTGGCTTGTCTTGGATTATTCTTCTGTCTCTGCTCCTGCTCTTATCTGATTGATCTTCCATTGCTAACCTGGCCTGTGACCTGACTACTCTTCCTCCAGCCTCTGTAAGCTTGATCTGCCTGACCGATACCGAACCCGGCTCATCTGACCCTGCATCCTCAGCACGCTGCTCGAGTATCCATCCATCCAGCATCAGAACCCTGCTTCCTGCCTACAACTCATCAGCTCATCAGCTATTACTGGACTGATCACAGGCACTCATACCCCACCATGCCTTTGCGACCGCTGTCTCAGCATCAGTGGTCCTTAAGCCGGAGCTGTACGGGAGGTCTGCCTCTTCATGTTAGGCTCACTATCCACGTACGTGACATATGCGATTTGTATTTGATTGGTGATATTATAATTTATCTGTACTGTGTATGTGTCATAATATTTTTGGAATAAATTATTAATATGGATTTGGCTATTCATTTTTTATTTAGGAGTGGTTTAGGATCAGGTGTTTAGTTTCATAGGGAAATAATAGGTTTAGTTATTGCTGTGTGGTTAATTTTTGTCCCATAATGAAATTAGAGTTAATGAAGGTATTTTATTTGCCATGGAGAAATGGTGCATAGACCAATCCTGACGAAGTCTTTCTGAGATGAAATGCAACATGGGCAAAGCATTATAACGTTAGCATGCATTGAGGGTCGATCACATGCACCCAAGTGAATTACAGGTTGCGCAGCATCCTGATAGATACTGAGTTTCTCATACCTAGTGCAGGGCTAATCACTTCCTTTGTGAGTTTACCCAAATATGTCTTACTATGGAATCCTCTTATTTTGCCCCTATTTGATGTATATTTGGGAAAGTCATATGCGGAAGAGGACTACATTAGTTTAATTGAATGTGGGGAGATTAAAGTGTTAGTAAACCCAGGATCCTGCATTCACTATGTCCAGTCTCCCACAGTACACAGAACATGGAAATGCAATTAGTTTAGTAAATATAAACTGCTAAATACCTTTTCTCATTAGCAGTATCTAACAGGCTTGTGACTTCTATCAGTGTCCGGCCGAGAGCACTGGTTAAAGCTTGTAGGAGAAGTTTTTATTCTCCTATGACTGCCCTATGAAGCTGCATGACCGCTGACCTTCTATCTGGACAGTGCTGATTGGCCCTGTGCTGATCACATGCACCCTCCCACAAAAACAAAATTCTCTTTACACATACACACCAAACTGAGCATGTGCAGAGTGCCTCCTAGGGCTCTGTATTATCAGCAGATGGATTGGAGACTGTGGAAGAAGGGGAGGATCAAGTAACCTTTTTACACAATGCAGAGGATTAACCCCTTAGGTTCCACAGTGAGTACACCAAGCATGTTTTACTGCATATACAGACTGGTTTTACTTTTGTGGGTTTAGTAACACTTTAAATCAAGTGCTGTTTGACCTTCTTATTTTGTAAGAGGTCAATATTATTTGATAAGTTTGTTTGAGAGGAAACACTTTTGCACATGTGTATAGTAGTGTGTTCACTTATTCCTAATCATGGTTTTGAAAAAAATTCTTGCATATTTTTATGGACTTCGGTGATTGATAATATACTTTTAAAGTGATTTTGCACATTAAATGTTTTATACATTTTTACACTATAGCTATTTTGCACATTGATGTTTACAATGTATTCATTTGCTTTAAGCACAGTAACATGGAACACAGAACACGTGACTGTTTTGTGTGCAAGAAACAAGGCCATTTAAAAGCAGATTGCAGAATCTTGAAAGCTAGAATGCAAAAACAAACCAAACTACAACAGGCCAAAAGTGTGAAGGAAAAAAAATGATATTTTTGCAGATAATAAATATGTTTTTCAATCCAAATGTTGCACCTCATCTTTGCAGGCATGGTGTGTTGAGTCAGGTGCAAATGACAGAGATTGCTTTATTCACCTTGACCAGAGTAAAACCAAAAAAAATCACCACAACTAATGGGTGAATAATGGAATCAGAAGGAATAGGAGATGGTTTATTTTATTGTCCTATTTCCCAGAGTGTTATGGAAAGATACATGTGAAAAATGTCCTGTATGTTCCTAATCTTTTTTCAGCGAAGAAGCTCACAAAAAAAGGAAACATAGTGACCTTCTAAGATGACAGTTGTGCCTTCACAATACTAGATATCTTACTTGAAAAGGCTAAACTTCAGATGAACTGTATCAGCGTAACTGCAATGAGGTTGATAATACAGCCAAGGAGGAAAAACATTCAAACTGCATTCACACGTGGCACAGACGACTTAGGCACAGAAGTCCCAACATAATAAAGAAATCAATTGAGAATGACTATGCAAGTGGAATACAAATGATTCCATGTGATCAATGACATGCACCAGCTGTATAAAAGGAAAAATTACAAGAAAGGCCTTCCCAAAGCCGAGTAACAACAGAGCTAAAACCCTTTGGACTTAATTCATTCAGATCTTTGTGGTCCAATAGAAAAAGTGACTCCAGGAAAGAAGAGGTCTTTTTTAACTTTTATAGATGATTACTCCAGGTATGCTACACTATATCTGTTACACAACAAAAGTGAAATACCAGAGAAAACGTGAACAGCATTTGGCTCAAGTAAGCAGCAATTCTGGCAAAATGCAGAGTGTATTGCGCACAGACAATGAAACTGAATATACAGGGGTTTAACATTGTCAGTAAGTATGCCATAATTTTTAAAACTGTTGTACAATACAATCCAGAACAAAATGGGGTTGCAGAAAGAATGAACCATACTCTGTGAGAGTGGAAGAACCATGCTGTTTGATGCAGATATGCCAACCACATAATAGAAGGATGCAATTATGATTGAATGCTATCTCCAAAATTGACTACCAGGAAAATCAACTGAGAAAACTCCATATGAACTGTGGAATGGAAAAGCCCCAAATTTGAATCATCTAAAGATTTTTGGAAGCAAAGCCTATGTGCACACCCCCCCCCCAAAAAATTTACAAAAACGGGATGCTTGTGCAAAGGAAGGTGTACTTGTGGGGTGAATCTCAAAAGGCACAAACAAGGTAACCATCAGTAGAAGTGTAATTGTCAACAAGCTACAATTTCTGGGGAAATTGTGTGAAGTGTTCTTGCCTCCACCAGTAGTCTACAACTGGAGTGGGCGGAGTAACTGGGTGGAGTGGCTTGAGTAACTGTTGTGTGGTTGGAGTGGCTGGAGTAACTATGAAAAGGTTGGACTGGGCAGAGTAACTTTATGGAGTGGGCAGAGTAACTGTGGAGTGTTTGGAGTGAGTAAAGATAGTAAACATTACACTAACCAATTGATTGATCAAATTTAAAAAGTGCACATGGCAAGCTTGATAGCTCACACTCTAGCTTTTGTCACTCTGCTGCCTGCTCACACACCTGGGTTCCTATGGCAACTCACTCTAAAGCAAGGGCAGAGAAGAGCGGTTAAACACAAACTGCTCCAACTTGCTCACTTCACTGGCGGTTGCCATCTTCAAACGGTTGTAGTTTAAAAATTATAAATCCTACACTGAAGAGCTTTATATTGTGAGAATCACAAGACCCAGACCTACATTTTGTTGCATAGTATGTCTCTGAAATATAAGAAATGAAGGCACAGTTGCAGTTTAGAAATTGCCCTTCAAATTTGAGGTGGCTAGAGTGGAGTTTCAATGAATGTCAATGGACGGCGTGAGTTGCAAACAAATGGTCCTATTGTGAAAACTATCAGGACTATGGCTTAGCCGTGGACATTTTTAGTGGCAGCAGGGATAGCTGAACGTTTTGATATAAGATTTGAGTAGGTGGGCTTGAAAATGAGGGAGTGGTGCCAGTTTAGAAATCATGTTCTGATTTTTCAGCTCACACTCTAGCTTTTGTCAGCTCCCACTCTAGTTTTGAACATTCGGCCATTCATTCCTATGGGACCAATTTCACCACAAAAATGCTGATATTTTGTAAACCATTCAGCGAAACGTTCCACAAAGTAATAGCACACCAATCGGGAACAATCCGCACGTTTCGGTATATTACTGTCTATGTAGTGTAAAAACTGTGGGAGGAGTTAGGGTGGTAAATTTGGCTATAATAATAAGAATATATATGTGAGATAACAGTAAGTGGTCTTGCCATGCAAGAACACTTAATTAAACTTCAGTGTGTTCAAAATTTCATGAACTAACACAAATGCTTCAAAGTGAGGGAAATTCCACATCAGTGTTACATGAAGATAAGCAAAAAAGTGATGCAGAAATAGAAATCAATACAGATAATCCAAATATTGTAAAAGAAGAAACCAGGCCACAAGAGGCTTCAATCAGGAAATCCACTGGAAACAATAAAGACATCCCAGTCAAATATCTGTTGCTCATGTAACATTAAAACCAGAGCCAGATTCACAGGTGAGATACAAAGACTTCCAACACATAAGAAACAAGAGTGGATCAGAGCTGCTGATGAAGAGATGACACCTCTTAGTGAACTGAAACAGATTTATAGAACTGAGATACGAAATGGGACTAGTATAAGGAGTTGCTGAGTGGGGGTGTTGGAATATAATGTTCATGTATTCTTTGTGCAACAACTACAGATATATTCTTCAACCAGTAGATGACAGTGTTTATAAGTTTGTAGCTGCATCTATGGTTGTACTCTATGTCTTTTCTCTATAATAAAATGTTCCTGTTTCCTGTTTGTAGAGAAGCAGCGGATAAACACATGTAGACTGTGCACTGTCTGTTCTGTAGGGCTATATATATATACCGAATCTCTAACACACTTGAGCCTTATGGTAGGTACAGTCCTATCTACTGATGCTGTTTTTTTTTAAACATGAAAAAGGAAAGGTGCCCACAAAATTCATCTGGATTGAAGCTATCATTTCCTTGGCGCACATTAGTTAGTGAAAGCTCATGTCAGACTGGTAGTTTTGGGCAGTCCCATCACTTGTCATTTCATCCAATTTTTATACAGAAAAGTTTCCACAGGATCGGAATGTTCTACTTACTTCATGGATGCTGGAGAGGAGACCAGAAGAGGAACTTGAAAGACCAAATCTCTTCTCAATTGTAGTTAAGCTGCTCTTGAAGTATGCACTATACAGGAGCTGAGAGAGCTGAAGTAGCGCATGGCAAAGTACAAACACCTGAGAGGTAGAAACAGATATTATCAGTTAGTTCTCCACTTATAGCTGTATCAGTGATATGAAAGTGGATCCAAACCCACAAACAAAAATGTATATCTGGCAGGTTATCAATTATTAGATGGGGTGGCTACTTTTGTTTTCTTATAAGTTTTTTTGCTTTATTTTGACCTGGTGATGCTGCCAGTTATACTGTACATTCCAGTCCTAGGATGATAACACTCATTTGTATCAGGATAACAGAAGGAGGTAGGAGTACAGAAATATGTCCCTCTCATATTGTCCACAACCTAGGTAATTAATAACAGTCGGCACAGGCAAACAACACAGCAAATTATCAACTATCAAAATTTTCTGGCAAGATCATAAAGATTTTTTTTTGAGTTTATCAAACAGAAATAACAAAACACTTTCAATGGTATATTTAACAAACCAAAAGGGTCCAAGTAAGAGATGTTTACTGTACAGTTTGTGCTGTACTTTTTCCTTTTGCCTTGCTTGCTCGCTTCTATACAAGTCAATTTAGCAGCAGATCTAAAGACAAGAGGGGGCTATTGGGAGGATTCATAAGACCATCTGTAATTCATATGCAGCTGTCATCCCTTTTTGCACAGACTCTTAGAGGACTGTATACTACAGCAATAGCTCTGCATATAGAACAGATACTGTCTTCTGTAGTGCAATGGTTTATATTTAGCTGTAATATTTGCATAATATTGTAAGTAAAAAGAGGTGGAGGAGAAATGGTGTTATCGGTCATATGTGCCTAGGGCTGATTGATCTTTAAATATTATCCTGCAAACCTTTAGTAACCTACATTTGTTACGTATAGTGTGGTATCAAAGTTCCCTGTCTGTACCTGACACCCTTGTAGTCTTGTCCTGTAATTATGGTTAACTTGATTACTCACCAACCACAAAGGCCCACATTAAATAAAAGATATGATAAGGAAGTATGACTATCCTATATAAACTGAGTTGTACAATACACTAAATTATATCTGTAAGCATGTCTCCAGAGAAGACAAACTAGATTAGGTAAGTATCAGGTTATTATACGTGCTGTAAAATGAGTTTTGGTTAAAAGGCAACGCTGTTAAAGAGACCCTGTGACCATCCTAAAGCAGACCTTCACCCAAAATGATATCTTGTGCTGCCTTGCCTCCTCCCCCAAACCTTTCTTACCAAGGGACATTTTTTTGTACAATATACTTTATTTGTGCTACAAAGCAGCATTCTGCTTTTTTTGCCTAGGCAAGATGCTCTTTCCTGCGCATGCACAGATATGCAGCATGGCTTGGTTCCCACAAAAAGACTGGGAACAGGGAAGTCTGAGATTTTCCTTGTCTTTGGTGTGAGTGGGATCCCTTTTGCAAGTGTGCAGATGTGCCGACAGGCTCTGCCAGGATCTGAAGGCCAGTCAGAGCCTCATGGGTGCATCTATGCATGCATAATAATGGCGTCACCCAAGGGTGGGTAGTGCCTGACCATAGTGGGACTGAAGTTTAAAAATTGCTGGTAAAAGCACAGAAAGATTTAGTACTTCAAAAGTCCCTGTACCACTGATGGAGTACAGTGCTGTGTACTGTATGTAGTTGATGCTACATACAGTTTATACAGAACATACAGCTGCATGTGTTACTGAAGGAAATAACTTGTTTGGACCAGCTTAGTCAAATGAACTATTTAAAGTGGAACTTCACCCAAAAGGAGAAGTTCCACTTTAGATCCACTCCCCCCCCCCACTTGGGGGGGAGTGGGTACCGAATTTTGATAGGTACCTACTCCCACTTCCATTTGGATTGCCTAGCTCAGGGGTCTGCAACTTTTAAGACATAAAGAGCCACTTGGACCCGTTTCCGAAGGGAAAAAAAAGACTGGGAGCCGCAAAACCATTGCAACATTTAAAACAAATCCGACACTGCATATATTGTTTCTTACCTTAATGCTATATACAGGATCGTGCAGTTAGCTTCATCCCCCATATAGTAATTCATCCCCTATAGTAATTCATCCCCCATATAGTAATTCATCCCCCATATAGTAATTCATCCCCCATATAGTAATTCATCCCCCATATAGTAATTCATCCTCCATAGTAATTCATCCCCCATATAGTAATTCATCCCCCATAGTAATTAATCCTCCATATAATAATTCATCCCCCCTATAGTAATTAATTCCCCATATTGTCTCAATTCACTTACCTTTGCTCCGCGCGTTCCTCTCGCTGTGTTCCCGCGCTGTGTTCCGGTCTTCAGGGCAGACTGTGAGAGGAGTTCGTCACGCTGCCCCGCCTACACCCTGGCTGCCCCGCCTACATCCTGACAGCTAATGTTCCACGCTCCGCGGGCCGGATTAAAAGAGTCCTGACTTTTGAGGCGGCCGCCCGAGAGGAGGGAGGGGAGCGGGCCCCGGCACACAGAAGAGCCGCATGTGGCTTGCGATCCGCGGCTTGCCGACCACTGAAACCCTATTGCCTGTCACCTGGTGGGCAGTGTGCTCCGGAGCCGCAGCAAAGATGAAAAAGAGCCGCATGCGGCTCTGGAGCCCGCGGGTTGCTGACACCCGGCCTAGCTGATCCAAGTGGAAGTTTGGTCCCCCCTCTTTTTGTCTACAGCCCTCTGGGACACATGACAGGTCCAAGGAGGCTTCAACCATTCACAGGGTGCAGGTTGGCTAGTGCATATGCAGTGAGAAGCCAGTTGTGAAGCCGCAAGGAGTCACAGCCGGCTTCCCACAGTAAAAATGCCGGCACCGGGGACCAGAAAACACCCGGGGAACACCTGGCTCCGGTGAGGACAGCTCTGGAACCCTAGACACGTGTAAGTGTCCTTTTTCGTTCTACAGTATTTTTAGCTGCTGGCTTTTATTTTTTTTCCTTCTAGGGTGAAGATCCTCTTTAAAGTTCACTAACACTTGGAGTTAGGCTTAATGTAAAATCAGAAGTCCTTATCTGCACACTTGTTCTGGATTACTAACTCAGAGTATTGCAACCATATGATCAACATGAAAGCCTGAAAACATGAAATCTGCAGAATGAAAAGTTACCAATTGAGCATCCATGTTTCCATCAGAAAAGGCTTTTTTTAAGGTTAAAAGTAATTGTGAATGTGTAGAAATGGTGCTCCAGCTGCATTGTTTTTAGAGCCAATCCCTTTTAAAGCCTACTTAATATTTCTTTTTAATTTCACTTAAAAACGCTAGACAAAATATTTTTTTTCAGTTCTGGGTAGAGTGGGGAAACATTAGAACATCTGTTTGCTGCTGTTTTGAGTTTGTCTTTTCTTTTGGGAAAATGTTCTTTCACTTCCTGTGTGGTTACCAGGGCAGGAAGGAAGCAGAATTTCTCCAAAGGTGACAGTAGAAGAAGGGTGGAGTGGGAAAGAGTTAGAACATCTGCATGTTTTTTTTTATAACCATCTTAATCCCTATTGTGGAAGTTCTCCTCACCTCCTATGTGGTCTCCAGTACAGAATGTAAGGGGCTGTGTCATCAACATACTGTAATAAAAACACAACTGAGGTCTAACCTTTTTCCATTCTAGCCAAAACAAAACCCAAAAAACTAGAGTTTGGCTGTAAGGCTATATTAAAAAAATAGTCAACTTTTTTTACCACTATGTTACATTCATATTACAAAAGCTGTTAATATGTGTTGCCTGTGTATTTACTGTATGTCTCTTCAATAAACATTTTCTTGGATAAAAGAAAACTATTAATACCATCTGCCATTATACCTGTAAATGCTTTAATATGACAATACTCAGACTCAGTACAAACAGTTTCTGCTCCTTTAGGTTAACAAAGCTTGCTTAACAACATGTAGGCAAAACGTAGCAATCCTGACAATATATGATCAACAAATTGGCAATCTTTACAATACATGAGCAACAAATAGGCAATTGCTACAATACCACAGCAATGACATTACAGGAACCCAGAATGCCTCTCACCACCACCTCCACCCCTTCCCTTTATTACAGGCTTCCAACAACATGCAACATGTATTCTTTGTTACCAATGGAGAGAGCTGGAGGAGAAATAAAAGTTCACACTTCCCGGCTCTCACCTTCTCACCAGCACCAGTTTGTAGTTCCGGCCTTTTGATGACAGGAATACTGGAACTACTGGTGGTGGTGGCTCGGAGTTCTAGTAATCAAACTTATTACTGGATCTCCTGAAAATAAACAAAGCTGGCTTCAAAATATGTAGGAACAAATAGCAGTCCTGACAATATACGAGCAACAAATAGCCAGTCTTTAAAACATGTAGACAACAAATAGACAAATATGACAGTACATGGGCAATGATGATTACGGTGAGATCCAGTAGTCTCTCCTCACCAGCACCAGTTGATGGCTCCTGTCAATGGCTGACATGAATAGTGACTCTACTGAAAAGCTTGAAGATCCAGTAATCAAACTGATAAGCGGGAGTCTCCAGGTGAGGTCCCAGCTATGGTGATCTTTTTAAATCTGGTGAATAAGCTGCAAAATATGTAAGAAAATGTTTCTATCCAGGGTCTATTTCCTCGAAATCCTGTAAATGTCTCTATCCAGAACTCTAATTTTTTCCTATCAAATAACCCAATGGGATTTTTTATATATTTACTTATCTTCCTTTTAAAAGCATTGTAAAAGAACGGAGGCTTATTTAAAGACCAATTACAGCCAAGATTTTTTTTTAACAGTTGAACAGCCAAGATGTTTAGTTTGTTTTGCAATGAGTTGGGAAGGGCTGAGGCCTCCAATGGGAATATATTTAGTAGAGTGAAGTAAGGTTAGAGCTGACATTGTATATATATTGCGGTCTCTGCCTTCCTGTCTTGGTAAGAAATACCCCCCCGGTGTATTGCCTGGTGTCTCAGGGACAGGAAATGAGGGAAATCTCCCTGATCTAGTCATAGACAGAAATAGAAGCCTGGCAGAAACCCTTCCCATGCTAGCAATATAAAAAAAATATTGGCTGTGCACTGCAATGGACACACTGACTAATGTTGTGTTAACCCGCCCATTCAAAAGGAAAGTTACGCACGGTTACGCACATAAAATTAGGGCAGGCTGCATTCTATTCCAGTGAAATGCACAGAATACAATGTGTTGTGCTGTGTTGTGTTGTGTTGCAGTGCACATGCATTTCAGAGGTTTGTTGTGGTGCCCTTCAGAATGAAAGACATAGCAGCGCGCACTAACACATGTTATGTTGCAATGTAATAGTGTGAATAGACCCTAACAGAAAGAGGTTATTAACTACCCACTTGCCCTCCTGAGGATTTAACCCCCTTCCTCACCAGGCCATATTTTGCATTAAGGCGCTGCGTTATTTTAACTGTCATGCAATGCTGCACCCAAATGAAATTTACGTCTTTTTTTTCCCCACGAACTGAGCTTTCTTTCGGTGGTATTTGATCACCTGTGCATTTTTAATTTTTTGCGCTATAAAGAAAAAAGACTGACAATTTTGAGAAAATAAACAATATTTTTTGACTTTTTGCTATTAAACATGTCCAGTAAAAAAATATAAAAAATCAAATTTCATCATAAATTGAGGCCAAAATGTATTTTGTGACATGTCTTTGGTAAAAAAAATCCCAATACATGTAAATTAATTGGGTTTACGTGAAGGTTTAGCATTTACAAATGTTGGTATATATACTGGGATTTTTTTTTTGTTTTACTAGTAATGGAAGCGATCAGCAACTTAAAGCGGGACTACAGTGGACATTCTGACACTGGGGGGAACTGACTTGCCCCAGTGACACCAATACAGTGATCAGTGCTAAAAAAAAGCACTGACACTGTACTAATGGCACAGGGCAGTAAGGGGTTAACATGAGGGGCGATCAAAGGATTAACTGTGTGCAGGGAGTGTTTTACTAGGGTCTGTGTCAGTGTGCTTTACTGTAATCACACTGCTTTGGATGGCTGTGCAGTTAGTAAACAAAACAATAAAAAGAGAAAATAGGTGCAGCGCTATAATCAGAATACAGAAAAAAATTCTCTATAAATTATATATGCATCTAAATGCCAATGATCAAAGAGATGCAAGATGTGATACAATGGTAAACAGTGCGCTAATCAGTAGGAAATGAAAAGTCCTCATCCCAGATCAGTGGTTGTGAGAGATGAAAAATCCTAGGAACAGATAGAGTGCGCACTCACCAGAGGTGCGTTTAAATAACGCATGTAGAGAAGTATATTCCAAATTCTCTCCACCTTCAGGGCTCTGGTCAGATCGCACTCCGTACTATCCTCTGTTTCACCACGAAGAACAGTAGCCAGGTCAAACCGTGTGGGCGTCAGAAATACTCCTTAGTCCAGATAGGCACTGCGGGAGGTGGTACTCTCAAAGAGAGCCCAATAAAGGACGCCACATAGTGTGATGCTGTATGACTTGGGTTTATTAGTCAAAAAAAGGGGTGAAACAACAAAAAGTACTGACCATAAACGTTGGCCACATATAGTGGCTAGATGTCCATAAGCTGTAGCCCCCTCTGACGCGTTTCGTGCGATGCACGTCCTCAGAGGGTCAGGGCTGCACCTATTTTCTCTTTTTATTGATTATTGTAAGGGGTTGGTTGCCTGTGTTCTAGCTGCTTATACACTCCTGTCTGTAGCGCTCGCTATACCATTTTCACATTCTAGTAAACAAAACAGTTCTCCTCCCGTCAGAGATCTTCAAGAAATCACTGGGCACCGGTGAGTAATTACCAGCAGGGACCCAGTGATTGACAGCAGTGGCCACGAATGACAGTGTGGGTATGGCGTACCACCTACCCAGAAATGCAAAATCACGTATATATATGTGGTTTTGTGCACCCGTGCCACCCTGTAGCAGTATTTCTGCTATAGGGTGGTCGGGAAGTGGCTACTATTTAGAATATATATCTATGAACCATGTTTTGTTTTTGCATTTGCTACTTTTTTAAGCATTTCAGGTCACCAGCTCATGTCTGTTTGTTGGGACCTATTATGTGCAGCACAAATTAAGAAATGTATTATTTAGGGCAGGCGATACACTGTTAGATTTATTTTGTTTAGCCTGTAGGCTGAATTAAAAAAAAATTGATATCTGGGGACTGCCATGGGACTGAATGAAAAAAACAAACAAATGTATTCCCCATCCAAACAAGCAGGATTCTCCCCACTGGACCACTGTATTCTGATAGCGAGGCTCCTCTGCTGTCAGAATACACTAATTAGGGGCTGTAGCCACTGATGAAATGAAAGTTTTCCAGCATGGCCAGGGAGGGACACACAAACAAATGTTGATCTATCTGTACCCACCTTAACAAATACAGCACCTCCATTCATGCTACATAGTGTGGAAAAATTCCCCTGCTGGGTTGTTGTACTCTGACACTTGAACAGAAACTGCAACTGCTTGGTTGCAGCCACTGTTTGGCCCAAATTTTCCAGCAGACTTGTTCAACAAAAGTCAATCAAATGATCAGTGTTTGTCTAACACAGAAGGGCAGCCAAGGCCACTCACTGAGAGCATTTGGGTCAGTTTGTCAGGAATGCATATGGCCAGCTTTACTTTCTTTGCCTTTTGTTATAGGTTACCGCTCTCTGTACTAAGTATCTACGTGCCCGTGTGTGGCGTAAGATGGTCATAAAGTTCCTCAGACATTCTAGTGCAGGAAGAAATGAGTCAGGAAAGGAAAATAAAGTGTCTTTCTTGAAACATCAGGGGGTATTATTTCATCAGACATGGATGTTTTATCTTTTTTATGGGTGATCTCATGGAATGGGTAAGAAATTACAGCTCAAGCAAAAAAAATCAGACATTTAGTAGGAAAACCACAGGAAGTATATTTTGGGAATATCCTTTTGTATTGCAACATTGAAATAGCTCACAAGTGTCTCTTTTCTAGACTTGAATTTCTGTATTATTCTCTCTGCCATTTTTTGCCCTTATATTTAAGCATAGTAAAAAAAAGACTACCAATTGTAAGTACCCATGCTGAATGGTTTGTTTTTGACATAGTAGATCTTGGCACAAAAAATGAAGCTGCAGGTGGCAGATAAAGGATATGGCATTTTTTAATGTTCACTATTTATACACAATATTAATAGCTATGTGTCCACCCAAACCGCAATACATTCATCCTGTGCAAATGGGTCAAAATGTTCCTCAACTAGTCAAATGTTACATTATTCAATATGGTCACTAAATGGAGCTGAAGATTCACTCTACTTTCTGTAACTTGTAGTGCCCCCCTGACCTCCAGGAGCATGGTGGTTACCCCCAAAGACAGAGAAGGCTGACATTTCACCTCAGGGTGCAGGTTGCTAGGCATGGTGGGTGGTGGACAGTGTAGAAAAATGGGCGCCAGTCACTCTTGGAATACACACAAATTAGTTTTATTGATCACAACAGCAAAAGAAAAACTCAGGGGGAGGGGGTTGGGGCACAGGACACCCTTAACCGCCTCCCGCCCACCATATAAGGAAACGATGGGCGCAAGGCGGTTCTCTCGTTCTGGGAGGACATCATATGACGTCCTCCCACTCTAACTGCACGTGCGCGCCCCCGGGGGCGCATAGCGCAGCGATCGGTAGTGCGCTGTGTCCCTGGGACACAGCTGAACACTGATCAGTGGAAAGACCTGATGACTTCAGCTCTGTCATGTGATCAGCTGTGTCCAATCACAGCTGATCGCATGTAAATAGGGAAATGCCGGTTATTGACATTTCTCTCCTCACGAGCTGTCACGCTGACAGCTCATGAGGAGAGGATAGCTAGTAATCGGCATTCCTCAGAAGGGACATCTACACTGATCATCAGAACACTGATGATCAATGTAGCCCCATCAGTGCCACCTGTCAGTGTCCATCAATACCACCTGTCATTGCCCATCAATGCAACCTGTCAGTGCCCATCAGTGCACATCAATGCCACATATCAGTGTCTACTAGTGCACATCAATGCCACATATCAGTGCCCATCTGAGCTGCCTATCAGTGCCACCTATCAGTGCCAGTCAGTGTCGCCTATGAATGCTGCCAATCAGTGCCAGTCAATGCCGCCTATCAGTGCCAGTCAGTGCCGCCTATCAATGCCCTTCAGTGCCACCTAACAGTTCCAATCAATGCCGCCTAACAGTGCCAGTCAGTGCCGCCTATCAGTGCCATATATGAGTATTGCCTTTCAGTCCCCATCAGTGATGTCTGTGAATGCCCACCAGTGATGCCTGTCAATGCCTATCAGTGCCACCTAACAGTGCCTCCTCTTCAGTGCAGTATATCAGTGTCCATCACTGCAGCCTCATTAGCGCACATCAGTGAAGGAGAAAAATTACTCATTCACAAAATTTTATAACAGAAACTAAGAAATAAACTTTTTTTTCAAAATTTTCAGTTGTTTTTGGTTTGTTTATCAAAAAATAAAAAACCCTGAGGTGATTAAATACCACCAAAAGAAAGCTCTATCTGTCTCAAACAAATGATAAAAATCTCATATGGGTACAGTGTTGCATGACTGCGCAATTGTCATTCAAAGTGTGACAGCGCTGAAAGCTGAAAATTTGCCTGGGCAGGAAGGGGGTAAAAGTGCCCTGTAGGCAAGTGGTTAAATCAAAAAGACTAGCAGACAAAAGAAATGGGAGTAGACAGCAGTACAGGAAGAGAGACTTTAAGCTGTAACCATCAATCTGTACTTTAATAGCAACAGCTGTCTCCCATAGCAACAAAAAGAAAACTCACAAGGACGTGAAGGTATCCTTTGGATGAGACCATCTTGACGCTGTCCCAGGCTCTCCAAAGTTCCCTGTCTATGGCAGAGTTACTTCTGGTACTTCATCTCAGGTCTCCATCCTTTTCTTCATGCATCCAGACAACAAACAGGCTCTCTCTCTAGCACAGCCTTGAGCACATGGCTAGGCCTTAGGCTTCCGACCTAACCTAAGTTCCTCACTCATCCACACCAGACCAAGGTCTGGGTGGGAAGACACCGATCACCTGACCTCCCCAAATATTTATACTTTCTGCCAGCATGCGGCCAAAAAACTCCTACTGATTAGCTGAGAAAAGTATACATATTCATAACCCAGCTTTACTGCATTCCATCCTGCTAATGACAAAGGTAACAGTGCCACTTATTGAAAGAAGGGAGGAACCACAGCTACACCAGGCTTAGGAGAAACCCAAATGGTCAAAGACTACAAATTAACCAGGTTGCCTACAACACGCAGCATTACTAAATTTACTAGTAGCCCTGTTTAAGACAAGGGTGCTACAGAATGAATTACATTCAACCTGTAAAGGAATTAGAGAATATTTGATTTTGCCTTATTCATACTGAACAGATGTATCAGCAGTTTCGCTGGACTAATAGCTATGCAATTTCTTCCAAAAAATCTATATTTTTGCATTTTACAGTATAACACTGTGCAAAAATGTAATAGAGTACGCTACAAATAATAGACAGAAAAAAGAGAAGGTGTAGACCTTTAGATCGTTCCACTACAGCCATATTATTCAAAGCAACACTGGGGTGAGCACAACCTCCCTACCCATGGTATTTCTTCAATAGACAATCTCTGGCTATGCATTTTTTGTTATAAATACACCCCTATGTGTGCTTAACACTGCAAGAGTTGCCTTGTGTCTGCATCATACTGGAGAGCTTGACCACAACTCTTATGTAGAGCATCTCCAGCGGTCCAACATTCCCCTACCAACTACTCCCATTACCAATGCTGCCCAGGGAGCAGGAGGTAATGCCATGATCTTTACTGCAGCCCGGCTACATAACAAGTAAAAAAACACAAGACTTCACTTTAGCTTTAAGAAAAAACTCATTGAGATAAAGAATGTGGTGCCATCATAGTTGTTGATTCCTGACATTTTGTAGACTGTTCTGAAAAAGCCTCACCTAATAGGTCATACAGTATGTCAGGTGTCTGGTGTTATACTGTGTAAACAGTTTGACTGTGAAAAACACATTAATTTCTGTTTCACCTTCTGGGAACTATTCAGATTGCTGGGAGACTGATGATTATACTTCTAATGATTCTGCTGATTGTTCACAGAAAACAATGTGAAGGTGTTGTGCAGAAAGCAAATTAACCTATCCTTGTTTTATAATACAGGGAGCCTACGTAGATGTACCCAGAAGGTTTGTTTGCCTACGCCACAGATGTTTTACGACAATAGTCCATTTCAGAACAGCTACGTCCATTATAATTGTACCATGGCCATTCCGTATGCTATCTATGCTAAGACAGTGTCAATTATAGTAGATCCCGAACAGCCATTCTCTACTAAGGTTCCTCCACAGGTTCCTAGAGACTCCTTGAGCTGTGGCTGATTGACCTTCCATTCAGTTGTGCCTGTCTACAGTAGTTTCACAGCCACACATCATGGCAAGCCAGAAGCATGATACAAATAATCTTTTAAACTGTCTGTAAGGGTGGTATTCTGACCACCCCTATAAGGGGGGCATTATTCCTCCTGGCAACCAGTGTAAAATTTTTTCCACAGACCCCCAATTAATTGGTTTTAGTAGGAGTTCCCCAAAACAGAAAACTATTTCAAGTGTTCTTTTGGAGTAAAAAGGTTAAGAAACGCTGTTCTAATTTGTCAACCAGAATTGTATTTTTATAAGGCACTTGTGGCCCAGTGAGAGCGTAAAATCTGTTCTCCTTTGGACACTGGGCTTAAACTGGCAAGGATCTGAAGGGTAAAAGTATGCAAGGGATGGTAAGAAGAAGACTTTCTATTGTGCAGAAGATTTGAAATCATCCATCCTTGCTCTTATTTGTTGGCTTGTACAGTTATCTTTTTTGGGCCAAGGTTGCTGGTGCTGCTGCTCTCACCTAATTACACTATTGGCTGATTCTATAAGAGACTGGTCCACCCAAGTCTGAGCCTAAAAGAGAAGTATCCTCAAAGCTTTTATGGTCACATTTCTTTTGTGGGTCATAGGTGTGCAAGTACTTGTTTTCTCCTGTGATATGGAATCAGGGGACAGTAGCCTAAAGTCCGCTGTCGGCTGATGTGACAGAACTTCTCCAGACTCTGGAAGGTTCATGACATTAATGTCACGATCCACCCAGATGCTTTATTGGCAGCTGTCTCCACCTCTCAGCACGCCCCCTCTTATGCTCCCCCTGCAAACCGTCACTCCAGTGAGTGCTGGAGGGCAGAGCAGAGAGCAGTGAATGTCAGAGCAGACTGAGAAATGAGCAATCAGTGATCATGTGAGCCAGCAGAGAACAGCTGCAGCATCACACCGACAATGCAGCAGGGTGGTGAGTATAGTAGTTTGCTTTTTTTTCATTATCCCAAACTTCTCCATTAAATCATGCAGATCTTGGGATGATATTTTAAAGTGTCTAAAAATAAGGACTGTCTGCATTGCTCAAAATAACCAGATTTTTCCTCATCTTTCTAGTTCTCTATTATTTTGGCAGTATACATGATCCTTTTCAGAAACGTTCATGACCATTATGGTATAAAGTAGAAAGATGCTAATTTAATGCAACATAATGTTACCAGTGGTAACAGCCAGGCTTTATCTTTTCTATGGCTGGGTCATACTCATGGCAGGCCCCAAATGTCCAAAAGAGAATGGACGCAGTCTGGATTTTTTTTATGCTGCACATCGTTGAGCAGGTCCATACAACAGTGTTGTAAACACTGAGGGAGGTTAGGGGAACATTTGATGTCCTTTATTGGGTTGTGCACAGTTTAGTAACCCATATCAACCAGTTTGATTTCAGTTTACGCTAATGAGACCAGTGAGGGATGGATTTTGATTGGTTCCAACACTGAACTTAGTGCACTATATACAATATGTGTTCAGTGGTTATTAATTATACTTACGTCATTTGACTTTCTAATGGTGTCAACCTCAAAAATGTTTTCATATGGATGGACAGAGCACTGTGCACAGTTCACATCACAAAACAGCTACATAACAAGTTTGCATCTATTGTAGCTACATAACCTCATTAGGACCTACAAGCCTTTTTCTGGTGTTCCCACGCCATGTAGAAGTTTAATAATTACTTCACCTTAACATGTCATACCTGAGTCGGTTGGTCTGAAGTGGGAAAAAAAATGCTCAGCTTCTTGAAGTAATTTAATGTTCACTGATTTGTTGGGTGTAAGCTGTGCTGTCAATCAACATCATGCAATTAAGCAGTGAGGCACACTTAAATTTTAAGGTTGGCAGGTACAGGGTGACCAAATACCTGCTCTTCCATTTCAAGGGAAATGTGTAGGTGTTAATAGACAATGGGTTTTAACAGCTTCTTAATTAAAAAAAAAAGAAATCTCAGCTCCTTATTTGGCCTAAAAATAGGAACTTAAATCACCACGTAAAATTAACCGGCAAATTGCCAATACAGGAAACATTACTACTATGTTTAAACCAGAATGTTGACTTTGTTTGTAGAGTTGTTTCAGGCAACAAGTGAACTGCTAAGGCTAACCAGCAAACACTGCAGTTATCTTAAAATCAGAAAGTTTCATAAATCCCATCTTCATGCAAAACCTAAAGTGGAACTACACTGTATCTGAGCACCACAAACCAAAAATGCTATTTAATTAATTTTTATTCTTCAAAGTAAACACACCCATCCATCCATGTCGCCATGCTTTATTTTGCTATGAAATCACTCCCTAGCATTTCTGGCTGTGGCCATCTTGAGAAAGGGCAGATAATTCATGTAGCATGTACTTCCTGGAATCCATCTGCTCTTAGTTCAGGCATGCAGGATGAGTGTGTGCTTAGCTGAGAAAGCCCTACAACTCTCCTGAAGACTGTTGATGTTTAACATCATTTGTCATGACCTGAAAATCAGGAAATAACTGAAGAAAAAAAAGATTAAACAAGTGAGTAAGATATAATTTACTAGTGTTACCAACATAAGGATTAAAAATTGTCAATGTTGATTGAGACAGTGAAGTTCTGCTTTAATCCCCTCTTAAACCCCCTCTAAAGCATTCGCCATTTTTTCTTTTATTCAAT